GAAGTTTAATTTGTTTATGCTTGAAAACGAGTTAAATGAGACAAGTCTATTAAATGCCACGGTCGAAGTAGTTGTAAATAAATTGTGATGCCATTTTAATACAGAAAATATTATTACATGATATTAATGATGTGCGGATTCTTAAAGATGACGGAAGTGATATGTGGAATTTATTAAAAATGTGAGGTGAGAATAATGTTTAAAATAAAACGAATATGATTTATTTATAGATTTTTCTTCTAGTTTCTATTTTTAACGTCGAAGTTATTTCTATATATATATATGTAATGTTCCTTGCTCACATAATGATTTTATGAACAATTGTTTTATACCCGACACAGGTTTATTCAGATATTTGTCGAAAATAAGGTTTATCATCTTGAGAACGTGAAAGTTTTTATTTTATGAAAACAGAAAGATTTTAACTTGATATTATATTATATTATATTATATATATATATATATCTTCAAATTATATTAAACATAGGAAATCCTATAATATGCATACTTAAATATAGTCAAGCAGATAAATTATTTTGCAACTCATATTTTTTACGCAATCGAGGAACAATAATTTATATATTTAGAGGCGAATTCTCGAATAAAACAGTGATGTTCTTATGAGTTAATGAACTGTCAAAAAGCTATGTATTTTCTTTGCGATGAGGTATTTTACACGTAAAACCTAATCCACATAACGTAAAAAACGTACAAACGTCAAATAAATTTTTTATCATAAATGCAACTTTTTTAGGTCTCTCTGATAACTCATACGTGAAATTAGGATTACCAACTCATACGAAGATAGACCCGTATCATAGCATTACCTAGTAAATAACATTTTTATATAAAATTTGGTCCCTTACTGGCCAGTTTTTAGTAATATCGATGCATCTTGGGGATATTCCCCATTACTTTTAGCAATATAGCAATTAAACATATTGTCTTTGAAGTAAATTAATTTCTTGCATTTTTTACGTTTATATTATTGTTCATGAACAAATAATATTTTATAAGAAAACCAACATTGAAACGAGAATTATAAGATTTTATGCACAAAAATTGATTGTTTTTTTTATTGTTGTTACAACAGCAATCAGAACTCTTACTATTTATATGTTCTATAAGTTGTTTGGTTCAACGCTTATGATCTAAGGTATTATTATGAGAGGCAACCCATCGGTTCACCATTCTCCTATGTGTGGATTTATTATATATTAGCTCTTACGTCTAATAGTTTACATATGATTGAGTGATGCAACTATGTCCACGAAGGAAGATTTCCACTTGTAGTTATATTATGATCTATAACCCCAAGTGGAAATTTGACATCAAAGTCGCCTGATGTCGGGCTACGGAAATCGAACCAGCGAACCAGGGACTAGTTGCTGCTAGCCCACACTCTAACCGATATCGCCACTGCTGGCCCAGAAATTGATTGGGTGATGGGTTATTGATTTATATCGTAAATATTAGAATACGTTTTTTTAATTCATGCGAATATGCCAAACTGCAATCTACTAGTGTAACATAATCATGTCAGGTTAGCCTAAAATAATCAAGCCATGATAATCGATGAAATGTTTGGTTATAAAGCTAATAAGCTAAGTGCGGAACAAAAAATCAGTTAAATGCTACAATCTTTAAAAGCAATTTAACAAACATACTTATGGAATTGAATCGCCAAACGAGTTTTATGATCTAAAGCAAAAGCAGAGATCGCAGGTGATAAAAGATAAAACTGACGTATACTGCTCCAGCTTGAAATCGGTACTTCGAAAGTCAGTGGCTAACCGATCCTCGGGAATTAACGGTTAGATTAGCACATCAACAACATGTCTTGATACTCTTGATACATATATCACAGAAAAGGCAGTTAATAACTGTGCATGCATCGTAAAACGTCCGCTGTGCGATGCGGCCTAGCATTATGGACGCGTTTGATAGGCCTAGCGCATACCATAGCAGGCTGTCGTCGTGGATGGAGATGAAAAATAGCCGCTTCGGTAATACATACACATGCTTAATACATATATATTCATAGAAGAAAAATTTATTATACTTATATCCAATCTATTTATACCTATGCTAATTGTCATACGTTTTTCATATGAGAGTTAGAAAAATATGTTCAAAAGTTTATCAAAAATAGATTTCTATCTGATATTATGTTGGGCTCGATGCTGTTGGCAAACTTTTTTTAATCATTACCCCAATATATTTTTGTATAAGTTGATATAGATATAAGAGTTCATAATATAACTACAAGTGGAAATCGTCCTTCGTGGACATAGTTGCATCACTCAATCATATGTAAACTATCAGAGCTAATATATAATAAATCCACACATAGAAGAATGGTTAACCGTTGGGTTTCCTCTCATAATAATACCTTAGATCGTAAGCGTTGAACCAAACAGCTTATAGAACAGATAAATAGTAAGAGTTCTGATTGCTGTTGTAACAATAATTAAAAAAAAAAAAAAATTCTATAAATCGCTAAAGCTCGTATAATTTACTCAAAATTATTATCCCTTGGCGAAGATTAAAAAATATTAAATTGCCTCTTTTTAGCATTTTTTATATTATAGCTCCCATGATAATTTTGAAAAGAAAGCAATGACTAAAAATTTAATTTAAACCAGTGGCGAGCTCTTTGGTAGCGTGTTCGATTCACGCGACAGGGATCTTCGGATCAAATCCTGTCAATGACTTAGAATTTATGAAAAAAATATGTGTAGAAATCAATTAAAAAAATTGTAATTGTGAATTTGAATAAAAATTAAGAAAATTAGGATTAACAGAATTCGAATAGTTGAATTGAATTGGGAGTAAGAAGAGGAATATTGGAACTTGAAAGAAGAATGAAGAAAAAAATAGAATAAAGCTGAAAGTTAAATAGAATTAGAAATTTGAAAAAAAAGAGCAAGAATTGAAGAAAATAAGAAGAAGAAAAATTAAGAAGAATATAGAATAGGATACATAAATAGATTGAAATATGATATAAATTAGAATGTAAATAAATAAAAATGTTGTAGGTGGCTAAATGCTCAGAGTAAGCGAGGCCAAATAAAAATTTGACAAAAAAAAAAAAAAAATTAAACCAATTTAAATTTCACTGTAGCTGACTTAGTGCACGGACTATATATATCAATTAAAAATATCCTTTTTCCAAAAAAATCATATTTGCACCATTTGGAGTAATTTGTCCCTTTTGGGGTAATTTTTGGACGATTTTTCGACCGCTGGGCTAGAGCGTCGGCACCTAAATCAGAAGTACCGGGTTCGATACCCGATTCGAACAGCTTTATGTGAAGCAGTAGTGACATCGGTTTTTACTTGGAATTATAGATAGCGATAACTTTTCAAGTAAAAATAACCCTTATCCGGCATTGCTGCATCAGTTAAATACTCGCTCTATTACGAAATTGTAAGATGGGACAACTGATCGAGTTGCCATCTGTAAAACCGACATAATATTAGGTCAAATTTGCTCAACATCTTATAGGACTTATAATATATTTTTATCTTATAGGACTCTTAGGTTCTGATTGCTGTCCAAATAATTGAAAAAAACTAGTATTATGTTTGACGCATGACAAATATTTTTATATGTGACAATTGCTTCATCAAAATGGATGCTCAGTATTAATTTTACTCAAAATTAATCAATATATAAGTTATTTTATGTAACTTAAATGTCATATATTGTATGAATACTTATCTAAATATGTCACATTATATATGAAGATTTACACAAAACGATAATTTAATGAAATGACTATTAGAACAGATAATAAATTATAATTACTACTTTCCAGTAGCCAGTATCTGAAGCTTATATAGGAATCTCTGCTCTTAAGTTTTGTAGTCAGCATTTTTATATAATATTTGCTAAAGTTAAAACTATCAATCAACTATCAATTAATTATATACTCAATTAACTATCTTCTGTATCAGTTTGTTGAGTCTCATGGTAATTTTGAATGTCATTTTTATATTGTAGTAAATATCTGTTTTATTTTAAATATATCGCAATCCTACAAGAAGACAAAACTAAAAAAAAAATTTTTTTTTTTTTAAATTTTGAGATAAAAAAAAATCCAAAAGCAATTGTTTTGTCAACACAGGCAGAAAGTTTTTTGAGTCATTCAAACCAGATGCTTAGTTCTCTCAAACATTGCCATCTTTTGCATATTTAGCTTCGTATCTCCGAAATGACTAGACCTGCCGTTTCCAAAAACTAATCACCTTCATTACGAATTGAATATTTTAGATCATTCAAATCGGATGCTCCGTTCTCTCAAAACTCGATTTCTATTTTCTGCACTCGTTGCTCCTTATCTCCAAAGCGGATGAACCTGCCTTTGCCAAAAATCAGCATCAATAGAAATAGAATGTTTTTTAACTATTTAAATTGGTTGATCCGTGCGTCCGAAAACGTGGACGAAAAAAAAAGTTTTCCAGACATAAAGTTATTGTAATCGTCCGATTTTTGGACGATTACAATAACTTACCCTAGGGAAAGTTATTAAACTATTGCAAATATTTAAATAATTAGTTTTAATTTAAGGTAGTAATTTAAATTTGATTTGAAATTTTAAATCCTTTATTTTGACTCTAATGCACAATTTAACTTTTGTGACTTGCGTAGGTGCGATATATTACAAATTACCACGCTTTTGCCAGATTGTAAAAGTAAATGTAAATGTAATATTTAATTTTAACTATGCGAATTTGTTCATCTCTCACTAATCAGCTTGTGTGTGCAATTGTAATATATAATTTAGAAAAGATAAATAATTTAATATTCGCGATAAACTAATGAATGGTTTTTCGAATTATGTATATTTAAAGTGTAATAATATATATATTCGTATGTACTAATATATATGTCGAATACGTCGGATATAATGTTGAATCTTTACAACTGACATTTTATCGTTTCGTGCTATATAATGACACCTTGTACAACATCCAAATCAAGACTACTGATCAATCTAATTGTAAGCATCTGCACTTTCATGAGGTTTTTTGTAGCCTTTCTTTGATAAAATATCACGATCTCGTAATTTATAACTTGGCCATTGGGCACTGTAAAACGCATATACACACACTTTATAATTTATAATTTAGAATTAAAAAATACCTATTTTTTGGTTTGAACAGAATTAATGTTAATTTTTTTTTGATACGTCTAAAACTGAATCGTAATATAAATAATTAAATAACTTCAAATATGAATATATTGTGAACAAAATATTTATTATAGAATCTATAATAGTATTATATGTTACGGGCATATTCTTCCTACAGTATAAGTAGCTATATATAACAGAACACCCCACAGTCCAGCTAACAAAAAGCCAAACCACGGAAAAAATTGTGTTAATTTCATATCTCGAAGTACTAAGAATCTCATTGATAATGCGACATGTTGTACAGGGAAAGGCCAGCCTGCCCTGTGTAAGGGCCAACCTATTCCTTCAATGGGCCAAAATACTCCGCTCACGAGAAAGATCAACCACATAATATATACAACAGCTCTCATTGATGATAATTTGTTCCGCAGCATAGTCGATAACAATACTCCTAATGCGATACCTGCAGGGAATTATTAAATTTTTATTTAATATGAGATATGTGCAATATTAAAGTAGAAGTATCAAATAATTTTTAATCAAATATTACAAAATCTCAGTGACATTTTTATGCTACAGTGCCAAATAGTTTTGAAATTATGTTAATTACAAATCTATTAAAACATACTTAACTAATCGTAAGTGGCATTTTGCTTTAAACCAAGTTGAATGAATTTTGAAAATTTTTGAGTGATTTATAAGTAAACCGCGCTGTTGTATAGCATTATCATGTGAGAAACTATTGCAGGTTATCCACTTTTCTACATTTTTTTCAAACATGTTGGTTATTTTTGACAAATGGCTTAAATACTTATTACTTTAATCAGTTTTTAATTTAATTATATTTAAATCACTTGTCATAGGCCTCTAATAATTCAAGATTTCTTCAAAATCTTAAAAACTTTTTTTAAGTAAGAAGTAACGACTCGACAAATCTTTATCAGAAACCAATATATTTTGAACAGTACTTGAATTTATAAAATAGATTTAGGATTTTTGAAAAAAAACACGATTTTTTTCATTGTAATTAGCACTTTTTTGCTAATTAAAATAAAACTGCTTGACCGATCTTTGCGTGAGTTATTACCGTGTTACATCGAATGGCTTTTAAATTTGTGAACTTAGCGAAAACATAGAAAAGATTGACAAATGAAAAATCGGAGAGCAAATTCACCACATTCCTAAGTGTTATTTCATGCTTCATTATTATTTATGAGTTCAATTTTGAATATGCATTAATTCCGTTTTTATGTAGCTTAGCTTAATAATATAAATAGAATTTCCGTAATTACCGCAAAATGTGTTTCCACCTAATATGACCCAACACCTCATTAATGCCAGAATTATGGTGTAATCCCATATGTTTGTTACAATTGCTGCAGCTAGTAATAGTAGAACATTTTGTAGACATAATATTATAAGGTTGAGGAACAAATGTGCAGCTTGAATTTCACAAGAGGTTACACCTTCGGCGCGTATTCTTTCAGAAATATCGTGCATTGTTACGCTGAGCATAGACGCTAATGCTAAAGACACCCCAGATACGCCACCCCATACGAGAACACCCGCCTGAAATGACAAAAATTTATATAATTTCAATTAACACCTATAAATTAATTTGTATTACTTTATTTCATAATAAGTCTTATTAATTTATATAATCAACGAATTACTATAAGGTACTCTCCGAAGCTCGCAAGCTTTGTAAGGCCATACATTTCAGTTTATTTTAAAATTGCTAGAAATTAAAAAAACCTTTTCTTAAAAAACGTTTATGCAAAGTTATGAATGTATAAAATGCCAAAGTAAGAATAAATTTAAAAAAAAAAACGTTTGTTTGCCGTTATTATTATGATACTATGGTAAAGCGGGTAAGAAGGTCCACCACATTGGACATTGCACATGAAAAATGTTCATTGGACATATGCACATCAAATTAATAAATATTTTATAGAGATATTTATAATGTGTATAAATGTGTCAATTTTTTTGGTTCTGTACCAAGATTTTTAATTTTAAAATTCAAGTATATGGTCAAACAAATGCCCTCGACATTTTCGACAGTATGAAATAACCGATTTAAATAATTTAAAAAAAAATCGATTTGTATTGAGACGTGCTGATTAGTTTTTGGCATGGGCAGGTTAGCCGTTTCGAAGACAAAAAGGACCAAAAATGGTAATTCAGTTTTTGAGAGAATGAAGCGTCCGATTTGAATAATTCAAAAAACATTTTATTTATATTGACAAAAACGAAGAACTGTAAATTTTTGGAAAGGCAGTTTCAACGGTTATGGTCTCTCAATAAAAAAAAAATAAAAAAATGCCATTTGGCGGTCAAAAATGTTCATTAGACATATGTACATCAAATTGTCAGATATTTTATAGAGATTTTAATAATGTGTACACATTTTGTGTTCGTACCAAGATTTTTTGGGTTCCGTAGCAAGATTTTTAATTTTAAAATTCATGTCGACATTCTCGACAGTATGGAATAACCAATTTGTATGATTGAATAATCATTCGGTTCGTACTCGATCACGAAGTGTTTTTCCAAAAAAAAATTTTACCGTTTTGGAGGTACGGAGCGCAAAGGGTGTAAAATGGTAATGCAGTTTTTGAGAGAACGGATCATTCAATTAAATTAATTCAAAAAACATTTTGTTTTAGTAGACGGTGCTTTTACAGAAAATTTCGTAATTTTGAAAATTTAAGAAAAAAATCAAAATTTTCAAAAAAATTCAAAGTTTCAAAAAATTCAAATTTTTGAAATTTTTCATCATTTACAAAAAAAACTAAATTTTAAAAAATTTTAGAAAAGATCAACATTTAAAAAAAAACATTTTTTACAAAAATTTGAGATTATATCGAAAATTTCAAAAAAAAAAAAAAAGTTTTTCTCTTAACTTTTCAAAAAAACTCAACATTTTGAAAAAACATCTAAATTATAAAAAAATAAACAAATTTCTTATAAACATATACAAATTTGTTTGTAGAATACGGTCGTCGCCCAATTTAAAAAGCACTTATAAGTTTACAGTATGTATTTATAATAAATAATCTATTTGAAATCATTCAAAACATTTATTGATTAACTCGAATATTTAATTACGGCACGGGAAGTTCCAGCAATTTGTCTTAAGGCACGATGCCATGCGCCCCACTAGTTTTATTTCATAATCAGCAAATGATCGCATATAAACGCAGAGCTGAACGTAAGGTCACTTTCACTTATGTGAATTTGCCATTACTGATGTAATGAAAATATACAAAGATTTTTTGTTTTTCTCGTGTTTAATATTTGTTTCAAAGAAATATTTGTATTAAAAAATGATACTATTATTTCATTTTGGGTGGTTTATTATAGTGGCATTCAATATCTGTACTATTACATTTGACAACAACAATATAAGTCATGTTCTAAAATAAGTATGTATTATAATTTTACAAACGAATTAGCTCTCGGTAGTCCGTCTAATAAACAGAAGGAACCATCAAGAAACACAATGAGGTTGTTATTGTATATACTTATATCTATTCAGGAATGAATTGCTCGCATCTCATATGCAAACCCTAATGCCCCAGTGATTTTGGTATGGATTCGATTCAATTCGAATCATGCGAGTAACTCGAATGATTCCATTTAACTCGGATCACGTGTGTATCTTGAAGGATTCGATTCAATTCGAATCAAGCGAGTAACTCGAATAGTTCTATTGATTCGGATGTTGCGAGTAACTTGAATGAGTCGATTGAAGTCGAGTGGCTCGCATGATTCAATTCAGCTTTTTATTTTTATTGTACTTAAACTTATTAAAATTATTTTATTATATTTTAAAAAAATTTATGTTCATACATATTATAGCAGTTATATCTCTTGGTTTGATACGAGTTGATTCGAATCAAGTAAAATGTGATTCGAATCAGGTTGATAAAGGCTTCGAATGATTCAAATTCGCATGCCACCACAAATAAGGTATTAAAATTGTAAATGAATATCTTATTTAATTAAAATTTTTATTATTTTTGAATCTTTAGTTACTGATGATTAATTTAGGTGAAAGGTGTTAAAAGAAATTACTCAATGAACGTCAACTTTGCCTTAAATACGTGATTACCTCTGGTCCTTCAATTTTTCTTGAAAAGCCATCAATTATCACCGGGTCATCCGGTCGACTGATATTTTGAGTGTAGTACGTATTGGCCGCTTCTCGGAACTCTTGTACAACAGTGTCTTTTATTACTTCTTGCATCATATAGCGCGTAGGATCAACGTACAGCTCTAGATCTGGCGCCGTCCAATCTTTTGTATGACGGTAATAAATAGCAATGTGCGGTTCGGTTAAGTTTGCTCTTTGTGGAAACCACAGAAAAGCGTGCGCGTCATCGCGAGCAACCGATTCTTTGCCGGATACAACACTTTCTACTTCTTTCAGCATATCAAAACGTTTACTTAAACCATTTAGAACAAGATTTGATAAAAGTAGATTTGGCCCAGTGGATGTATTCTGGATAATATCATTATAGGTAAAATTATGATAGCCATCAAGACTGTAGCTTTCATTGTTATAATTCTTATAACTTAGAAATTTTTTCTGTTCCATATAAGACAGCTTTATGTACGATGGTGATGGTCCAACAGATAATCCGAACAGAAATATGTACACAGCCGGTAGTATAAATAAAGCTAAAGCACGAATAATTTGCCGAGTCAAAATCCTTAAATTTGCAGAGATCAATCGCACGATAATCGAAATTCGGGGAGGAATATGCCGTACGGGTGCAAATTTAGGAACATGCAATCGATCGCCAAATCCTATGTTTATTCCGCCGTGTCCAAATTCACTGAGCAACCTCTTGTAATCAGTGTGCCCCCTGCCCACCGAGGTAATGTAAAAGATTCCGACGATACTCTTTGCTCCTAGTGCTTCTATTATGGCATTCGGCGGCCCTTCGGCTATCATGCATCCATCGCGCATCAATCCCAGCGTGTCGCAGAAATAAGCTTCGTCGAAGTCGTGAGAAGTCATAATTATATTCGTGCGTCTGTTCGTTAGCAGCCCTCTCATGCAGGCGCGAAATTCGTTTCTGAGCGTAGCATCCGAACCAACTGTGGGTTCGTCCAAGAGAAGAAAATCCGGTTCGTGTAAGAACGCCAGCGCAAAACTAGTGCGGCATAGCTGATCGAAAGTCATATCCGATATCTTGAGATCGAGATCGGGTAATTGCATGAGGTGCATGACTACGAATATTCGATCTTGGAGATATTCTCGGGCCATATCCAATAAACCTCCGTGAAGCTTAAAGGTCTCTCGCAGAGTAAGACGCGAGTGTAGGCCATGCTCCTGTGGCATATAACCAATGAGACTCGATTCTAAAATAGGTAAACACCGTCCGCGGTATTCAATGAAGCCCTTGTCGAGCGGCTGAAGCCCGGCCATTGCCCTTAGTATGGTAGTTTTGCCACAACATTTGGCCCTATGAGGCAATACAAGTGGTTCTCTGGTACCTTCATGTTGAATCCGTTTAATACTTTTTTTGCGGAAACACATTTTTCCGAACCATTTATGCCCATTTACAATTTCTATGCTTATCGATTGTGACTGCTGGCTTACTTCAAAAGGATGACTGACAGACATATCTGATGGATGCTCATCTTTGTATTTGTCGAAATCGGGCACATCTTCAGACTTATTTACAAACATTTTCAAATTATGTACTTCAAATAAATATTTTTTAATAGATATAATATATGTTATTACGTTTTGCAAACATTTACATATACACTTGTCATAAAATGAGTTTTTATCATAGTAAGCGACGTATTAAAATTAGCTAAATTATCAATCAGTTAAAAACACACACAAAGGTAATTATTTTGCGTTTCTTTCCAGAAGTTATACAGCAGATGATTTATTAAACTAGCTGCAAGTGGCATTTTGCCTTAAGGCAAGTTGCAAAAACTTTCCAAGAGAAGTAATAATTGACTTAGTCAACTGAAATTGACATTTAAATATTTAGATAAAGTTTTCAACTGTTTATTTCAAAAATAAAGTTTTTGCTTTTACTTAAATCTAAACATTACGATTTCCAATTGAATTCTCTCAAATATATTTAAATCATCTGTAATTGTAATATAGTGCCCAGACTATTTTACACTATAGTGCTTGTATGTCCTAAAGTTGTAGCCTTTATTCCAAATATTAAAGAATTTATATTATTCAACTAATTTTAATTGGACTGTTTATATTAGCGCATGAACTTTATAGCCATGTTTATTTTCATGAAAAATGTCGAAACATTTTTTTAAGACACTTAATAAATTATTTTGTGAAATATTAAGTGTCTGATATAAGAAAATACTGGCACGATAACATATATCATGTACGTAGTCCTTTATATGATTTTATCGATTTCCAATCAGAACGGCTTTTGAATTTTTAGAATTGTTTCAGGACTAAATACTTGCAAGTGGACTAAAACGTGGACGAAAATTTTTCACTTTTCTGCTATTAACAAAAAGGCGGCTTGGCTAAACGTCGAGTAAATCTGACAAACACCAATCCTTATCGAATTACATCGAATGACTTTTAAAATTTTGAAATCGGTCAAGCCGCCTTTAAGAGAACGTCGACGGAAGGTCAAAAAACCGCTCATACACACATATATTTTTTCCAAATTTGGTCTCATTTGATTCAGAATCGCTTAAAACGTCGAGAAAACATAAAATTAGAGAATAGGATTTTATGGCGAAAACATAAACTCTTTCGAGAAGTTAACAAATCGAATGAACAGAAAAATGAATTTTATTATCACACATACTTTTACAAGATATGTATTATGATCAAAACTAAATTATTGATAGTTATTTTTAAAATCTTTTATAACAATATAAAAGAATATCATATTTCTAAGCTAGTTAAATTATTTATAAGCAATTAAGTATATATACATATGATTATACTAACAAATAAATAATTAAAATATCTACTTTTAACTATCTAGTGCTAATTAAAATCACAAACTGTAAAATAAGATTTAATTTTAATTAACATATAACTATGCAATCGTTATAAATTATATTCATAATATTAATAATACCAATTTTTAATATGTTAATCGTATGTCTTATCATTATCGTATGATATAAAAAGAAACAACAAATGAATATAATAAAGAGTTTGCATAAGGTTTGTTAGTATATATATATATATTATATAAATATAAAAATAAAAAGGTGTGAACATTTTATGACTATCCCATACTAAAAATATACTGTTTTAAAAACTAGTACGTGCGGAACCAAGGATAAATCTTTGAAATATGGCTCCTACTCGCGCAATTGTACATTGAGTTTGTGCCCTACCTGTCCTAACACCTGTTAGTTTAGGTAAAATTTATGGCTGTTTTACGAATATATAAAATAATATTAATGACCCTAATAAGAATAAGGTGTCAACGCTTCTGAACAGGTGCAAAGAATTATAAGCAAATTACAGCATTTGCTTTACGAGAAAATATAATTATGTGCTATTGCGCAAATGGTGCAACATCCGTCAATGCTTGTGAGCAATTATCAAATAAAAGAAATCTGAGTTATCATAAACTTGATGATAATTACATGTTATTAAATAAATGTTACAAATTGTTCATGGTATTGCC